CTACAAAAGTCGCGCTCCGACATCGGATACCCTGCGACCAGATTGAAGTCTAAAGGAGCACCCGGGTTGTCTCGGAGCTGCTATGCTCATTCGGCGGACAAAACTGTCGAGGACGCCGGCGGCCCGAGCGAGCCAGGCCGCCTACTGCGAGCCGAGTGCTGACAGTGACCCCATCGAGCTGGGGGGGGAATAACCTTCCACGCCCGAGTGGTCAACGGGGTGGCGAGAGGGGTTGACTGTTCGTCGACATGCTGGGGGGAGATACTTCGGGGGTCCTGTTTTTTTTTTTTTTTTTTTTTTTTTTCAGGGGTCCTTCGGAATAACGGAACGAAATGGGAGTGGGTATATCTATTGCACTTATACGACTTGCCGGTTTTCAAAAATCAATGCTTCTCCGCTCGATCTAGAATCTAGTAGATGCTTGATATGACAGTCTCCATTCTTGTAAGTGGGACGTTGGACCCGGTTTCCAGCACGTGCCGGAGATTCTTTTTCTCAAAAAAAAAAATGGAATCAGACTGACGACTCCCCAGATTGGAAACGGAGCCAGAGTCATAAGGTCCTGCTTTAAAAAAAAATAAAAATAAAAAAAAAATCCTTGGGGAATACTACCTTGGGTCATCAATTGTAAAAAAAAATTAAAAAAATAATAAAATACAGAAGACATCTTCAGAAGGGCTGACCATTAAAGCTTTATAACCTCCCTAACCCCAATTAAACCACAACAAGCACCAAGCCTATTTTGTCAAACTTATCTTGATCACCCAACCTCACAGTTGTGGGCCTATCTATCAAGTCCCACTGCCACGTGGCAAAGGAACGCTACTGTACGTACTTTTCCTGGCAGGATGAAGCACAGAGCGTGGAGTGGAGACGTGCGTCACGAGAGTGGAATGAACACTCATATCAACCCATTCGGGACGGTTCCCTCGGCGTTCCGCCCCCTGCCCCCCCGCCCCCCCGTGACGACAAGGTTTGGAAAAAATACAGTGTCACCACAAAAGTCGGACAAACCCGGGAAAGCCTGTGCTACCATTTTCACCCGAATGGAACACATCGTCATTACATCTGCATTTGTGGCAGCATTCAGTCCAGATGCAGGGATAATAACCGTGCGCTCTATTCGGGTGAAAACGGTAGAATCGTCGCCCAGAGCCAGACAGGCTGTGGATCAGCATGGGTGCACACGAACACACTCTCGGATCGAAGCCCATTCGGCACCCCACCTCTCTCCGGACACTAAACCCCTTCTCTTCTCAACCCAGTGAAGTCGCGAAGACAGGGTCGAGAAGATTCTTGTTGGTTTAGTGAGGGCGACCGTGAGGACTACATTCATTGCACTGGAGGGGGTGCACACCCTGCTCCACGAACAAGTCCGCATGACCGCTGGAAAGCGCATCTTAAACCACCAGTACCTTTCCCATACATCGGCCGCGGGCAGAAAAAAAAGAAGCCCGAAACGGAAAACGTAAACGGCCCGCCTATTCAATTTATCAACGACGGCCCGATCGCGCTTGGCTTCCGCATTACCCACCGAGGAATTGATTTTCCAGCGGGGAAAGGTACGGGTGGGTTAAAGACTTAACCACCACCACCCCTGAGGATGCCAAAAAATGGTTTCGGCTCGGGGTCGAGAAGGAGTCCGACTACATTCATTGGACTAGAAGGGTTGCCAACTTCACTCCCGCGGCTGGCCGCGGGGTAGGGCGGTAGGCTAGGGTGTGGCCGGTCGGCGGCTTTTCGCAAAATGTTCACAGCTCCCGGTTTGGCGGTTTGCGTGCTTAAGAGGATATATATATATATATCGTATATATATCGTATATATATCGTATATATATCGTCAAATATATATATATATATATATTGTCACAAATATATATATATATCGTCAAATAGAATATAATATATATATATATATATCGTCAAATAGAACTGCCCGGTAAACCGTAGGCAGAGAGGGAGAAGAGGACAACAAACGAGGGGCTGTGACAAACTGTTTCGTCGGAGTTTCACCGACTCATCAGGAGGCTGAACCCTCAACAGTCTGCAGAATCCCCTCACTGATTACACTGTAAATGATAATCTACCTTAACCAAAATCAAAGTAGACTATCACTCACCCACACCAGATGGAAAACTCTACAGACTGTCGGTTCACACCCCATCACAAGCCAGCAAAACATCCACGAAACAAAGAAAGGTCTATTGCTGGAACACTCGCAATTCTTACATACACTACCGAGAAATACGGCAGAAAGGCCACTCGAGTGGATAGAGTAAATCAGCAGGCTCGCTAGACGAAGCGTCTCTATCGATCCTCAGAGGCCATACGCCAGACGCACGGAAACTACCAATTGTGATGATATGGTCAGGACAACAAACGAGGGGCTGTGACAAACTGTTTCGTCGGAGTTTCACCGACTCATCAGGTATATATATATATAGCAGTAAGCGGAGTTTTTGCCTCAGTGGGCCAGGCTTGGAAAAACAAGCGCCCGTTCGTTAAAATAGCCCTCAGGCGCACTGGTGGCCTAAACAACCCGTAAAGACTGCCCACCCTCAGGAATGTGTCCCCCACGCCCCGTATACAAGCAAGCCATGCTTTCGACGTACAGGCCTAACGAGCACCGATGCACTCCTTCAGCTGCAGAAACATCGGGATTGGCAATTTAGGCTCCGCCGTAAATGAAACGACTGAACGAATACAAGCTGTAGCTATTTGACCCAAGGCATCGAAGGTTCATTCTCAAAAGGATCCAAGACTCACCAACCACCCCGACCTAGCTCACGATAAGCCCCGAGGTGGGCGTAAGCAGACCGACAATTTATAGGTGTCCCCCGTTAATTAACACCTCAGTGGGCTACCCACCATCGCTGGCATGTAAGCCACCAGGACCCCCCGGATCTGCAGGCACCTTACAGCGCGCCAAGCTTTTCCAAACTGCCAGTGGCGTACTTGTTTTCTTCTTTGGCTGGCGCTGCCAGTCCATCGTGGTCCGGCAGGCCGAGCCTCCAGAATTTTTGTAGGCTACCAGTTACTTTTTCAGCAAGGCTGGGGCTGTGTACTCGGGAGGTTACACTCCAACAGTACCATTTCCATCGGGCTGTAAGATATCGTCATCGTAGACATAAGAGTGGCCAACGGGCATTGCCGGTACGCTGAAAAGAGTGTTAGACTGGCGAGATATAGGACCCGCCATTGATAGATCCTGCACTGACTGATCTCCCCCCCCAGGGCGGGTTGGATTAATGAAACAGACAGGGCCAGTCTCAAACAGAGAGGTCGGAATTATTGACAGAAAGGCCAACTCTCGGACAGAGACATATTCGGCCTCACTTCTCAGGACTTCGTACTAAATGCACCCGGTTGTGCCGCCTCTTTCCTTTCAAGCAGTACAGGGAAACAACTGACCGCAGCATCCTGTGCTGCCCAGTCCACTACACCACATACTGAACGCATCTGGACCTGTTAGAGGTCAGATGCATGATCGGAAGACTGTAGAATGCGGCTTGGGGGAGGATTATGGGACCAATAGACAGGGTCCCGAGATGGGAGGGAAATCCTGCTGGCCACGCGCCCACACACAAGGACCCGCCGGTACCTCAACACCAAGTCCCCTGTAGATATGCTATCTCCACAAATATAACACCCACCATCATAAACCTATACAGACCCTGCTCCAGCACAACAAATACAGTCCTTCTGGGACACGTGGCACACACACATCGATCGACAGGTCATGAGATGGGAGGGAAATCCTGCTGCCCAGGCGCCCACACATGAGGACCAGCCGGTACCTCAACACCACGTCCCGCGTAGACATACGATCTCCACAAATATAACGCCCACCATCATAAACGTATACAGACCCTGATAAGTGTAAAGTCAGTAGTTCAAATCTACTTAGGCCCACTCGAGTACGACAAATACAGTCGTACTGGTCCTACTGGAAATGTACAAAAAAATTAAAAACTTATAAAAAAGACTAAAAAAAGGAAAAGCTGGTGGAAAGACGCACTACTGAAATGTGGACTGATCAGATGACCAAAACAGAGACAGAGTTATCCCTGGTGAAAACCCAGGGAGGAAAAAAAAAAAAAAAAAAAAAAGAACACAGAGAATTGGAAAAAAAATAAATAAAAAATTTCAGAAAGAGAAAATTAATCGCTGCCATCTATAAAAAAAAAGAAAAAAAAGAACAGAAAGAGAAAATGAAAAGATAAAAAAAATAAAAATAAAAATATCAGAAAGCGAAAATTAATCGCTGCCATCTCCTGCTCAGAATGGGTTGGAGGTGACCAGGCAACCACACTGTGTGCAAGGGCGGAAGAAGCGGAAGGAAAGCGTCTGAATCTGGTCTTGTGAGTGATTGGATGAAAAGGAACGAGGGCCTGCTCGCGCTAGCACTATCTTAAATGTATCTCGCCGCATTTACAGCAAGACCTGGATGTATCTGACCGCTATTACCTCCAGAGAAAAAAAAAAAAAGAAAAGTGAAAAAGTCCCGGCGTGAGTATGCCCTGAGGATGGAGTTTTCTGCCCAATCTCTGAGTTTTCAGACTGCTTCCTCCCGTCAGACTTAGCACTACCGTCTTCCCCTGCACATAATGCACCGTCATTTTGACTGTATCCGGCCCGAATAATAGTCTGTACACATTCATTATCAGGGCGCGTTACCTTATGTTCGGAGGAAAATGGTAGTCGGTCCGTCCTGTTATGGGTAGTCCTGCCAGGGGGGGGATTTACAGAGTGATTAAGTCCTCACCCGCATTTACTCTTACCTGAGAGCAAGCAAGCAGTCTGCCGGATTCACTCACGACAGGGCCACATTAAAAGTGGGAGGCACGCAAAGAAAAGAAAAAGAAAAAAAAAAAAAAAAAAAAAAAAAGAGAGAGAGAGAGAGAGAGAGAGAGAGAGAGAGAGAGTTGCAATAACAGACAACACGTGCGAGGCTTTACTTTCTGGTCTTCCACTTGTCTTGCCTGTGTTTGATCGGGGTCGATTGTTAATGAGTTTTATCATCAACATAATAGACAACCTGAAAAAAAAAAAAAAAAAAAAAAAAAAAAAAAAAAAAAAAAAGAGAACGGGAGGAATGTATCTGGCAGCTGTGGTGCCAAGTTGAAGAGGTGTGTGTCTTTGGCGTGGCGTGTATTTTGTGTAATCGTCGTTTTATCACATTGGGGAGTGATTGGGGCCCTCACACCTGAGAGAGAGAGAGAGAGAGAGAGAGAGAGAGAGAGAGAGAGAGAGAGAGAGAGAGAAGGTAGCACTGCCAATCAATACGGGGAACCTTGACAGAAGAAAGGGCAGACTTCCCCCGCCAAAGAAAAAAGAAAGAGCAGAGACTTGACTCACTTGAGACTCTGGAGCTACCGTAGAGCGGTGGCAGGGCGCTCGCAACATGAATCAGAAAAAAATTGAGGAATTAAAAAAATAAAATAAAAAAAATTGAAGAAGTCAGAGAGAGGGATTGGACCGCCTACCACATGGCGTAGTTGACGGCAATGAATTTTCGGAAGAAACGCCCATTTGTCATCCGCATCTCGTTAACCAGCCTACCCCAGTTCGAGCCTAAACTACCGACAAAGTAGTCGCATTCCGACGAGATAATGAGATTGACCAGAGATTTCTCAACTACCGTGAAGTCGGGGAGAGCGTCCTCTTTGCCCCAGAACGCCCCTTGTTGCATCTCTAACTTCCAGTCCTCCTCGTCCTCTCCGATCCTATGCTGCCGCGTGAAGTAGAACTGCCAGGAACCAAATGAAGGTGCCTGCTTGATAGCTACCTCCACGTCAGACGTCAGCCAGACGTGCTTTGTATCGGGATCGTACTGGCGGATATGCTCGGCGATCCGCATGAACGCTGGGAGACTAAAGAGTCTCATCTCCCTGCTTTTATCGACTCCCGACCGCACGATGATGCTAACCAAGGGGCGAGGAACATAGAGTTTCGCGAAACTACGACGACGTGCAGCGAGGAGGCCAGTACGACATGCCCTCCTCTCGTCATCCTCGGAGATGTTGACATGACGCCAGTCAACAGGTCGGGCAGCAATATCCCTCACCTTTATAGAATAGAGCGAGTCGTTTTGCAGACGCTGCGCCGACGCAATCATCTCTCTCGCGACAAGCTCCCCGAATGCCTGGTTTCGAACGTGGTTGATCACTTGGCAAAAGTACTCGCTGGGCTGACGGAGGAGGTATCGAACGGCCTGCGCCCTCCACCACGAAATCCTATCGTTCCAGTGTCTGAACAGTTCTCCGTTCTTTATAAGGGATGGCATTGTTCGTTCCCAAGGCGTACCCCATCGCGTTGGGACTACCTCTCTCACTTTATTCGCAACATCACACAGAAGGAGAACAACCGGCAAGCTCTCGTCTGCCATCAACGCGAGAACCTCGGAACTGTTGGCTCCGCGGACCACATGACTTACGGGCATGGATGCGCCGCTCGTTTCTTTTGTCTTCTTTTCCTGTTCTTTGGCTTGGGCAAGGAGTGCCATCGCGCGCGTATAACATTCCGAAGAGGTCGGGGGGAAAAAATAACAGTCGAGACGCTTTCGTGTATCGCCCTTGCAATTGTCTTGATCTGCCCGAACATAGTTGTTCAAGGGCACGAGCACGCGTCCGGCCTCAACTGCAGACGCTAGCAAGGCCGTCATGCCATGCAGTTGAGACCCGATACCATGCCATCCAACTCCCCACCACTCTGCAACTGCAAATCTGACGTCCGGCGAACTGCAATTGACAGGGTGCTGCTGGACCCAGATGTCGCGCTGTACAATGCGAGTCGACGGTAAGTTGTCGCCATCGGCACCATTGATCCACGGCGGGAACGGTCCATGGGTGGAAGAGGATCCCGAGGCATCTGGGAAGCCGCCGGGTTGCTCAAGGAACGAGTTGGGGGCATCGTCAAGCGCCCAGTCGGGGAGCGACCCGTTGGGCTTCCGTCTATCTGCTTCTAGGAAGTCCTTAGTCGCGGTAGCGCAGTCCTGTAGGTGTGGCGGTGGCTTAAACTTCAATAGGAACTCCTCTAGCTTCCTGTCCTCCTCATTCTGCTCTGTGCTTGAATGATCCTCCTCCTCCTCCTCCTGCTTGCCCTCCACACTCTGCCACTCCTCCTTTGTGTCCCCCCCCTTCTCCTCTTCCGTGGCATTACAGTTTCCACACGTGCTGTATGCACTTTGCCAAATTTTAGCAACCCTCCGCACCAGGGCAGCTTGTCCGTCGTTTTCGCTATGATTGTCGCGATTAGGCCGACCTTCCAGATCGTCTGCGGTTCTTGGCAGGTGATCAGCTGAACAGTTGCACAAGCGATCAGAAATCGGTACCCTACGCAGTTCAGGTGACGACGCCACAGGCTGTGACCCGCCACCCTCATCAACACCACCACTGCCGGCAACAGGCCCATCAGGAGTACTGTCAGTGGCAGCAGTGTGACCACCTGTGTCAGGACTGCTCTGATCGGGTTGATCGAATGCCTGTCGTTTCAGTTGAGTAGAGCTGTCCTCATCTTGCGCATCTGCAGCGCGCCATCCCATCGTCGTACCCCTGTCTCCAGACTGTCCGCTCTCTGCCTTCGCTTCCAGAACACAAACAATCCGCTCGCTCACATTCAAAAGAACACGCAAATGATCGGCATTGCTTGTCACCGCCTGCCGCAGGCTTTCCCGCGACACCTTGAGAGAGCTCCTCCCCTTCACCGTGGTGTTCCCGACCTCCATCGCCTCCAGTCTCCTCAGAACCCTGCGCAACGAGCTGGTATCCTCGTCAAGGACGCTTCTGAGTTGTGCCATCTGCGTCTCTAATCTGTTCAGTATTTGCATTATGCTGTAGTGATCTAAATCCGCTCCGTCATCGTCAAAGGCGAGAATGAACCTATTACCCCGAGAAGTCCCATCTCTATCTATAGGTTGTTGCCAAGATGCGCCCCCATTGAAAACCGGCCATCGCAAACTTGGAGTGAGAAGAAAGAAACTCAAGAGAAGAGACACAGCAGTGATAAATGTAACAGACCATGTTTGGCGTTTCACGGGCCACGCCATCTTGCCCATCATGACTACAAGTATCACACTCCCCCCCAGATCATGTGCAGCCGACAGGACACGCTGCACACGACACGAGCAACAAGAAGCTCGTCTCGCGTTCTTTGTGCGATAACAGTGAGCGCCAACACCTCACTCGTCAGCCCTGGTACTATACTACAGGGCAAGAAGTGAAGAGGTGGTGGTCCCCACCACCTGCAACGAAAATAATAAGTGGAACTTCGCTCATTAGGTTCGACAGATAGAAGGAGGGGGAGGGGGGGGAGGGGGGGGAGGGGGACAACAAAATTATTAAAAAACTTTATGCTCGCATTCATTTGCTCATTACCGTCGTACCGATGATGATGCGCAAGTCCGCACGAGTGCACATGTCACTATACGATGATTTGTGCACGGAGCACATGGCGCCGCATATTGATGACCGGCCGTCAGCAACTGCATGCCTTTCCATCTTGTCGTCATGCAACGACCTCCGCGGCAGCACAGTTGCCTTACGGCAGACTTCAACAGTCCACAGCTCTGCGGCTCAACACAACAGTTCACAACTGTGTGGCTGTCAAGCCAGGATTTGCGCCCATCTCTGGCACACAAAGGGAAGCAGATCTAGAATCAATCCTGAAATCTCTCCAGCTACTCCACCGTACCTCCTCCCACATGCACTGCAGAAGCCAGCACCTGCGATCACACCATATCAGATCAGACTACAGAAAGGGAAGCAGTGGCTGTCATAGCTCTCACCCATGCCAATGCATCTATGAATGGAGTAAAAGCTTCTGCATGCACACACAAACAGATTCACAGATTCACACACACACAGACACACACACACACACACAC